GACAGAATTTCATTGAATAGAGCCAGTAACACTTTCAGAATTTCTTCCGGCGCATTTTTCAACAGTTCCGCAACCAAACCAGCTCCATCAGCACATTTTTTGCAATTCAATTTTGCGATTGCAACCTCCAATTCTGCCATTGTCCATGGTGTTTCGTTCAAATCATCTGGCTGTTGGGATTCAATCGGGGTGCCGTGGAACAAAGCCTCCAACATATCTGCGAATTGTTCCACGGGGGGTTGCACCGTGACTTTGTGGGCAACTGACCTTGGGATGTGCGTCCTCATAAGTTTCAAGTTGGCAGAGTCCCAGATATGCATTGACTTAAGATGTTTTCCACTGTCGGATTTCCATCCGCTGCATCCTCCGAATTTGAAAACTAAGGTCCCATCCCACCCCGTTGCAAGATTCCAAACGGCGGCGCCGACGTAGGTCCAACAAAAAAGGCGAAGCTTGAAGCCGACAACGAAGAACCTTTTTTGTACCACCGTCCAATCCAGCATCATGAAACCACTGTTCCACATCTGCAAATGTTGGGTTCTGGCCTTCACAAACCGAACGCCGCAGTGTATTTTGAAAACGGGTTGCTTCACCGTTTTCGTCCAACAAAGGTTTCCAATGTCACGAAAGGTAGCGGTTACGCTCCCTGAGTTTTCCTTTTGCTTTAGCAAAAATGTATTATACCCAGAGCTGGAGCCCATCTCACTGAGAAATGGTCCCCAACATCTTCGTTTGCTGGGCCCCCCCCTTCAACTCCACCCTGGCGCGCCTCGGGGTCAACGGTTCGAAAACACTGTAAATACCAGTGTTTTCAGCTCTTCCAGTCCTCAACAGTGACCAAAAATCATGGAATTTACAGCGTTTTTTGTGGCTGTCCGGCAAAAAACATCGCAAAAACCGATGGTTTTTGATGCGTCTCGGTTAGAAAAATGACCGAAAAAAACCAAAAGCCAAGAAAGATTTTGTCGGAACGGGTTTTTGAGGCTTTTGGAGGCTTCAAAGTGCACAAAACTATGGTATTTACAGGGTTTTGTGCACCTTCCCGGCAGAAAACGCTGGTATTTACACGGTTTTCTGCGTTTTTCCAGTACACAACCGTGGGGGGCCTCTCACCTCCTCCCGGATTACGCCTGATTCCCTGCTACCTTTCGTTCACCCCCCTCCTCTCTCAAGTTTGAACTTCGCGGTTTTGTGCACAGGCGTCCGTTTTTGCAATCTGAACCGTCCCATGGCGTGAACACATCTATGATCCAGACCCACCGGCAAGCAAAAATCATTCCAAGCATCCAGGTACTCAACATGCCGACTTGCGAGGACAAAATCGAGTTGCACAAGTGCTCCATCCAATGCCCGGCAACAAGTCCCACCATCCTCTGACGTATGCTCACCATGCAGCCGATTCAAAATTGCAAGCCCGCGCCGTCCAACTCAACGAGCCAATGTCCATCCCCGGTCATTTCGATTTCCCAGGCCACAACAGCCGATGAGGTCAGAATCGTCTCCTTCAACTGATTAAAAAATGGAGGCACGTTTTCACCCAGGTGGGGGGTGTGTTCATTGGCCGGAGTCCCCCCAACCTGGCTCCGGCCCCCTGCTTGTACTCGATGCTCGACTCAAAGTGAATTAAACAAACTACACATAGGTGTTGACAACCAAGCCGTAATCGGCGCTCATTAAGAAGAATGAAAAAGGGAAGGGAGGAGAGGGAGGGAGCGGAAGGGAGTGAGGTGTCGCAGGAGGAGGTGGGGATGTGGGTGGAGTGGTAACTGGAGGTGTGTTGTGGGGCGGAGGGGTTTCCTGTGGTGGTGCTGACTGGGTTGGGACAGGTTGCGGGTGATGGAAAGGCCATGGTGGGGTGTGGTGAAGTGGGAGGAGTCAGCATACATATTGGGTTGGAGCGGTGGTGCCCAGGTTGACAAAAGACGTACTTCCGGTGAAATCATCGAAGATGTAGGTTGGGAGCCAAACATAGGTTGCATCGAGGAGGACAACCCACTTTGTTGGGGGATCCCTTCTGATTGTGCCTTTCTTTCCCGTGACCTTCACTTGCAACCCCCCAGGCTTACGGAACTGCACGAGATTGCTGATTAAACGCCGCAGGGTTTACTGAGATCAGACTCCAATTTGGATCTTCACATGGTGCTAAGTAATCAAATGACGATGTCCACTGCTAAGTATTCACAGGCCAGTTGCATGGGTAGGTTGTTTATGCACATGCTGAGCCCCTCGGTGGGGATCACACCACAGCCCGCAGTGGGAATCTTGTGGCGATACACACTTAGAACGTTGCTCGCAAGAGCTGTTTCTGCGGTCAAAAGGGCGGGAGAAAAAACAACTGGATCAGTTGACGAAGTCCCCCTTTAGTGCAAATAGACCTTGATTCCAAGAATGTAGAACGGGAAGGCGATGGAGTCCGGAAATGTGGAGATGTTTCAACATTAGCTAATCATTAGCACTTTAGAGCTCGATTAAAAAAAATTGGAAAAGCGCAGGCACGTTTTCACCCAGGTGGGGGGTGTCTTCATTGGCCGGAGACCCCTCACCTGGTTCCGCCCCCCTGCTTGTACTTGATGCGCCACTCGAAGTGAATTAATCAAACTACACATGGAATGCAGAAACCTTAGGGACAGGTGTTGACACACACGCACACACGCACATACACACGACTCAGGCCATCCTTAGATCATAAAGAACTCTGTGTGTGTGTTGGTTCTGCGTGGATGTAATACGTGATGTTTTGGCCATGGGTCAATCATTCCATTGGACCGTTCCGACCCTTCCGCACGCGAATCGCAAATTATTTGACATATCAAATCGATAACAAGCGTTAAATCACAGGGACATGGACATCCCTAGATCATACAGAACCGTGTGTGTCGGTTGTGCGCGGATGTGATGATGTGGACATGGGCCAATCGTTCTATTACACCCCCCACCCCCCCAAACCTTCCCATGGTGGCCGCGGGCTAATCACTCCATTAGTGCCGACCATTATTGCCATCGATGCGTAAGTGACCCACATTTTCGATGCGTAAGTGACCCTCTGATGCGTAAGGGGCGTAAGTGGCCCCCGATGCGAAAGTGACCTAAAAGCCGGTCCTGCCGACCGGCTTTTTGAACCTAAATGCGCAGCCTGCTCGCGCTTCACGTTTTCGTCCGTAGCACGTGAAATGTTAACGTGGAATCGTGGGCCGCTAGCCACCGTTGCTTTCGATTTCTAGTGCCCAGCCGTACGGTGTCACACCGGTTGGACAGCTGTGTTTCGCACATGGCGCAGGAGAGGACGCCCTAGAGGCAAGTGTGCCCAACCTTTGTCAGATACACCCGGGAATTTTGACATGGAACCTGAAAATCGGACATTCAAAAATTACGGCCCGGTGGTTGTCACAGGACACCCCGAGAAAGTAGTAGTAGTAGTCGTGGCCCCCCCCCTCCCTCGAACAGGGAAAAGTAGTAGTCGTGGCCACCCCCCCACCTCTTCGAACCCTTCTTGGAGACAATGGGAAGGATCCTGTGCAAAGAAGGGCCTTAAAGAAGGATCTTGTGTTACGAGGGCCTTAAAGAAGGACCCTGTGTTACGAGGAAGTAGTAGTAGTCGTAGGCCTCCCTTTTCCTCGAACTGGGAAAAGTAGTAGAAGTCGTGGCCACCTTCCCCTCCTCGAACAATTCGTACAGGCCATAAAGAAGGACCCTGTGCTACGAGGGCCTTAAAGAAGGATCCTGTGCTACGAGGAAGTAGTAGTAGTAGTAGCAGTAGTAGTAGTAGTAATAGTAGTAGTAGTAGTAGTAGTTAGTAGTGGGCCTCCCCCCCTCAAACTGGGAAAAATAGTGCTAGTCGTGGCCACCTCTCCCCTCCTCGAACCCTTCTGGCCATAAAGAAGGATCCTGTGCTACGAAACAGGATCCTGTGCTACGAGGGCCTTAAAGAAGGATCCTGTGCTACGAGGAAGTCGTAGTAGCCGTGGCCATCCCCATTCTACTGCGTACCGAGCTTGTCGGACGTCGGCTTGTGTGTGGCGGTCACGTATGCCGTGCAGGTTTCAAGTGCAAAGCAAATGAGTGGCAGGCGCAGGGAATGAGATGAGGTGGTGGCACGGGGGGGTTTGGGGGGGGGCATGGCGCTGTAATTGTTTTAGTGTTCAGACACTCACCGCGACGGTTCATGCTTTACGAGGCACTTGAAAAGGATTCCGTTCTACGAGGGGTTGTAAGAAGGGTTCTGTGCTACGAGGAAGTGGTAATAGTCGTGCCCGCCCCCGCCCCCCCGGGGCCCCGGCCGGGGTAGAGGTCGTGAGGGCGCCCCCTCCCGCCACACAAAAATTAGAACACCGGGGGCGGCCTCGGTTGTCAGGTCCTATGTTAATTTTGAGGGGCGTAAAAGGACGGTCCATCCGCATGAAGGCGTCCAACCTCACATTGCCAACCGGTGATACGCGGTTGGCGAGCAATCACTTTCAAGGAGTGAAATGACTTTTTTCCGTAGACTTGTAGACGCCGACGATTAAGCGTATTTTTTCGATGGACGAAACATGCGGTATGACCGAACATAAGGTTATAATAGTTCCCTCGGCTTCAAGAGCAAACAACATTTGCTCCTTTGCGGGCAGCCTGTGAGTGTGACATGATTTTACGGGTGGGGTACTTTACTTCAGATTGCCCGTGGGGTGGCGCAGCGCTCGCTGCCGCCCTCAGGCGCCAACAGGCACGCTACCGGGCCCCATCGTTACCGACAGCCCTGCATTCTGCGGCCAGCCGCCTCCCCTCCACCCTTGAGGCCTTGAAGGCGCCCAGAAAAAATTTCCGCTGGAAAAAAACAATTCCACCAAATAGATAAGACTGGGGGTGATTGGGAGTGGGGGAAGGTGGGGTGATCCCTCAAAGGTTCTTCTTGTCATGTGCGGGCCGAGGGGCATATGAAACACAAACCTGCCAGGGCACAATATTGGCCGCGAGCGGATGTGAGCATGTTGGAATCAAAATGTTCAGATTGTTGCAAGTGCATTTCATGCTCAAGATCTCAGTTTGCGACGGGTTTGCCAAAGCAAATCAGCGGCAATGTTCTGCCACCGGTTTTGCACTCAAAACAGAATGGTTCTGAATACGCATGGCATCGCATGGCTCTACAAAGTTCTTTTTGAGTTCGTCGCTGTTAGCCATGGTTTGACTGCCCAACCTGAGTTGCTAAACATGCCGGCTTCATGACCGTTTCGACCTGAGAGAGATTTGCAGCAAAATTATGCAGGTCACTCGTTGAAAGTGTTTATTTTTTTCGTGGCACCAAGGCAAGGTCTCGTCGGTCATTCTGGTTCGGCCAAGCTGCGCGATATTTGTTGCTTGTTGGTGCCATTGCTTGCTTATGCGGGTTTGGTTTTCTGTGGCGGGTGCACAATGGAGCGATGCAGACATATGGTGATGATACTTGGCGCGGTGTTGGATGAGTGTGGCACAGCAGTGGTGCTTTTGTGTTGTGGCATTGCTTAGGACACCACCAAGAACAGTCAGCAACGGATAGGCTTGCTGGACCAACAATTGCGCAAACTCCTTGCCAGCCCTGGGCTGCCGGCTGTCTCGCCCATATCGTTGCCACTGCCTACGGCGTCGTCCGCCGAAGGCAACGCCTCCAAACACCCAGTGTGCAAGCAAATGTCGATAGCCATGGACTGTTAGTTGGGCAGGCTGGTCAGGATCATTTGCATCAGAAGGGCCACTTGACATGATAGGCTTGTCGCAAGGACATCGGTGCTGGTGCTTTTTCAATTCTGTAGATATTGATTGAAGTACTGTGTCAATTCAAGTGGCAGGAGATGCAGACAACCAAGAGACCGACCCTGAAGAAGGGAGTAGCGCAGGTGATACAGATTGCCACGACACACACCCAAATGCTGACAGTCAGAGGCTCAGACCGCTTTGGATCATGGACCCTTATGTTCGCCATCCCTGAGTCTGAGGTCCTGACATGCTCCACGTCGTGTTTGCATCTGATGCAAACCAAGCAGAAGGCGCTTCCAGGCAGCTTGTTGTGCAGTGTGCGTGTGTAACACAAGCTTGCAAGGAGTCCAGGCAAGCGTGGCATCTGTTGTGTCATCCACAGCATCACCGGATGAGCTAACAATTCACATCATTGTGCAAGCGCAGTCTTTGAATGACTTCAAGGCAGGACAAAATTTGTGTCCAACTATCAGCACAGAGTACTGCCTTGCATTGTTTGGCAGATGCGTTTTGGAATTCGTCCAGAGTGCCAAGCAACTGTCAGCGTGACGGGCGTTCTCATCAAGGTTCATGCCGTGGCTTGGCGCGCTGTAGCGTTTTCTTCTGAAATTTCATCTCCAATTTGTGAATCAGAACCGGAGGTTGATGGACGCCTAATTGAGAAATCAGTGGCAAAGGTTTCGTCAAATTTACGCAAGGACTCATAGTTTGGGTCAGTTCAAGGATTTGACGCGTGGACATTGTAGCTGAGATGTGGGAAGTTCTGGTGAGAAAGAGAACGTCCGTGTGAGTGCCAGGAGCGAGGGGCGATAGATACGCCAGAAAATTTTGCGCGCTTTTATATGCATTTGATTCTGGAGAGGGCAGTGGGCGCCTTATCAACACTTTCAACCGCAATGACATTTGAAGCTAGACTTGCTGCAATCTTAGAGCAGCCCAAGGTTGTTATATATTTGGATGCAGATACGATTGTGCAGGTGGGAGGGTGTGGTGGACAGCTGCGGCGGAAATTGTGACATCAGGACACAGCGCGCAGCGCAAGAAATTAGAGAGAGAGAGAGAGGAGGCACAGAAAGCAAACAAGACAGAGAACGCAAGATAAGAAGAACACCAAAAACACACAAAGGATTGTTGTGAGCGTGTGATTTCTGCTCACAATTTATATTGAACTGTTCTTCTGGTGCAGAAACCGCTGCTTGCAACAGGCCTCTACCCTACCCTATGCGGAAACCCACCCAAAAACAAAAAGACCATGATTTGGGGACTACTTGGTTGATGAGACTAGCATGGAAAACACAGTGTTCATTTGTTTGTGACTCATCCAGATTGACCAAGATGAATTCACATTAATCCTGGCTAGTCTGAGTGATATCGGGCCACATTCATTTGTACATATAGTTTTGTTTTTGCATCCGAAAGTATGAGATACACTTCATACTTCATATCGTGTTATGACCTCAGATCATGAGCACTGATCTGTCGCATACCATTATGCGACAAACATTTGATTTGTCTCATAGTGTGAGATAAAACAAACGGGTGACCTATCTCATAGTGTGAGACCGTGTGTTTGAATTTATATCCATGAAATGCAAGGATTCACCTGTCAGATAATTATTGTGACACACAGGATAATTAGTGTGACACACACACACACTCATGGATATGCGTACTGACTTGACAGCGGTGCCACACGCCAGCCCAAATCCTGAAAAACCAGGTGAGGGGGCCTGAGCGCCTGTAGTTAAAGGCCAAAGTTCCAAAGCCACGAGACGACGGACAGGTCGAAGTGACGGCGATCGCTCTTGTCTGCAGCTATTGAGGTTCTGGGCTTAGCCTCATGCCATTCGGAAGAATCGGAAAAATCGCTGATCAGGCCAGATATCAGCACGGAGCTTGACCCTCTTCGTTGGATCACCAGTCAAGTTCGTGGGTGATCCCCCTGCTTGAAACAAAACGAAAACAATTCAAAAGAATCCCTGTGACTACAAGGGGCACACACACACACATATATATATATATACATATACCGTATATAATTGTCTCAAAACGTAGGAGCTTGAGCACTGTTTTCCAATGATGCGGAAGCCTGACTGGACTGTTTACCATCGTGTGATGCGCAAGCTCAAAGGGGTGGCTAAAACTGCAGTTGATGCTTGGACCCAAGGCTCATTGCGCACGCATACAGCTGGAGAACGAGTCTTGTGCTCATTGTGCAATGTCCCTGTGACTATGAAACACCTGATTTGGGAGTGTCAGTACCATGACAAGCCGCTGCCTGCTGCCTGGGATCAGAACATCCAGGCCAATGAGAATACCATGTTGTGGTCGCGAGGCCTTGTGGAAGTGCCGGACTACAGGCTGACAGGTGGCATGGATTCTCTGGAAGTTCACGGTGTGTTTGCACATGGCTGGCCAGTGCGTGTCACTCCCAGTCAGCGGCTTGCCATTGGGTCAAACCCACAAGCAGGGATCCAAGATTGCGGCGCTACGTGGTTGCGCTCATTGTTGGAGCATGGCAAGATGGCTCATGGCAGCTCACTGGCAAGTGCACGTGTATCGCCCCAGGTGAACCTACGGGAAGCAAGGGCCTGGTTCTTTGGATGCTGGTTGCTCCTCCAAGCCACCCTGGGCCGCCATCAGGTCAATGTGGCCAACAGAGCGGGATGGGCAGCCATCAACAAAGGAGGACGTGGCACGTGCGCCCCTGACCTGTGGCACAGTCTACCAGAAGCAGAATGGAGCAGGCTCAAAGTCCTTCATGTGCCCAAGAAGTTACTCCAGCAAACTGGGGATGACAAAAGGGCTTGGCTCCAGTTTCAAGAGGCCAGCATGTGTGCTTTGAGCCGTGTGCACCGCATTGCACCTGGGGATTTGGAAAAGGAGCTTCAGGCTGATGACCTATGGCGCCAAGAGATTTATGAAGTAGCGGCCCAGAGAATCAGTCAGCTCCTCACTGACCCTGATCACTACATGCATGGCAAGCTTGCTCCTGTTCCCACTCCTTTTCAGGTCAGGCCTGACCGGCCGCGCGGCAGACTTGATATTCTCCGCAAGTTGACCCAGCAGGAGCATCAAGCTGGCCAGCATCAGTGGGTCCTGCAAGGGCATGGCATTAGATGCCAGCAATGTGGTCTTCACGTCAAAGGGTGCTCCACGCATGCGGAGATCTCCAGCAAGCAGGCCACCACATGCCCAGGGGAGATGTGTCGCACCCTCACTCAGATCAAGAAAGACATGATTGCCACCACAGAGGCACTAGCTGACAGCCAGGGTGGGCGCAGATGGTTTAGCCGGCCTAGTTCATCTGGATGCTCCCGATGTTGGCAGAAAGTGTCTGGTCGCTGCAGCAAAGAGGCGCTCCAAAAGCTGAGTGAACAGCCTTGTGTGTATGGCCCGGTTGATACGAAGGACTTGGAGGTCCGCACCAAGATCAACCCTCAACACAGCCTGTGGCAGAGGGGAAGCTGGCTTGAGTGCCAACGGTGCCACCGTGTCACAAAGATCATCCATTGCAGAGTTCAGAGTTGGCTGGCCGGTGGATGCACAGGAGGGTCGAAGCAATGTAAGCTTCGCTTTGGGCCCAACTCTGACAGCTAGAGTATAGGAGACTACAAGGAGAAGGAGCCTAGGTCTCATGCCATTTTTGGCCAGAGAGCCATGGCATTGAAGCTTGCAGCTGGAAAAGAACCGAGCAAAAAAAAAAAGGGAGAGAGCGAGAGAGGGAGAGAGGGAGAGGGAGGGAGAGAACGAGAGAGCGAGAGAGCGAGGGAGAGAGCGAGAGAGCGAGCGAGAGAGGGAGAGAGGGAGAGGAGGGGGAGAGCTATAAAATTCAGCAGCTGTTTGTTTGTCGTTTGTTTGTGCACGTCACTGTATTGTTTTCCTCTGGCAATTGTCCTTAGGCTGAGCTAGGCTCAAGGCCTTTGATCCAAGGTGCATTGCATAGCACCAAGCCATTGTTACATGAACACTACGATAGAGCAAGTATGCTATTGTACAAAAGCTTGTATCTTGACACCGTCCCTTGGTTTGATTCCTTGTTGAATCACACCATCCATACAAACATTGTTGAAACCGTAAAGAAACATTGTTGTACAAAGCAGTTCAAAAATTGTAGGCAAGTCTGTACAGCTTTTCTGCCTTTGTCTCTCCAGCATTGTTCCTCTTCTCATCGTGGTGCGCGTATGGCATTATCATTGCCAGAGATTTGCAGATTGCTGAGCCATTGTTTTAGCCCTCCATGTCAGCCATCTGGTCTTCTGGAGCTTCCGAAGATTGTCTGGGACGTTTTGTCCCTTTCTCTTCCTCTTCATCTTCAGATTTCTCAAGCTCAATTGTCCTGTCGCGCTCCTTGATGTAGGAGCTGTGGTCTGGATGACCGCGCTGATGCCTTTTCGGGATTGTCACATGGTACGTGTCAATCTTCTTGTCCGCCTTGTACACGCCAAGGGCCAATTGTACATCTGGCAGGAGCTGAGATTGGCCAAACTGTTTAAGATGTGCCAAAGCCATCCCGAAGATTGTATGGTGAGGAGAATCCGCTGAGATGGTCAGCATTGTCCTCACATGCATTGTATGTCCATAGTTCCAAATCCAGCCATTCGACCAGTTGTACTTGTCGAACTTGTTGGCCGCATTGTAGTTCAGGTGAAGCGCCCGCAAACTGTTCTTCTCTGCTTCCGTGAAGTGATAGTCGTAGGGCGCCTGAACTTGTAGAACCTGGACGCTGTATCCTCTCGGGAATGACGACAACATCTTTTGTGACATATGATGCACCATATTGTGTGGATCAAAGGCGATTGCCAAAACAACTGTTTCCTCGCTCGTCATTGTGTGTCCCATCTATTGATGGTAAGCGAGCCATTGAACCGCTTCCTCCGTTGTGGGGGGACCATGATGAATTGTTCACAATTTCCAGGCTTCCGCAGCTTGCCCGGCAGCTTGTGAATCTCGTTGTTCTCATTCAACATGATTGTATACTCTGCCATTGTGACTGCTGCAAACCAGTACGGCGTGATATTGTCCAAGACATCGCTCCAAGCGCCGTCCTTGTAGCTCGAAGGCAGGAGGATTTGGCTTTCAACCTTGTCCTCATTGTAGAGAATCGCCCTGTCCTCCCACAGGGAGATTGTCGAGTTCGTCGGCAACCTGCGCTGATTGTGGTAGTCGGGGATTGTCATCTTCACTGCCATTGATGCCTTTGAAATTGTCCTTGAGAAAGTCGATCTCACTTGTCAGAGCTTGTGAGCTTGAAAGCGGCTGCGGTCAAAAAGATTGTCGACAAATTGTCAACTAAACATGCATTGTCATCCAAATTCAAAAGCAAAACTTCAAACACGGAAAGTCGGGCCCATCGTGAGACTAAAGATCTTGTAGTACATATTGTCTATGACATAGTATGCGCATAGTAACTAAAGTAGTGTGCCATGGCTTGATGCCCCCGTGTGTGTATTGTACACGCATGGATGCTGCCATGGTTGTGAAACTGTTGGTACGGCCGTTGTTCAGTTGTGATGTTGTGGGCATTGAAGGCCCGCCATGTAGAGGTGTTTGTTAAGCACCTCTGCCGGGACATACTTTGTCAGTATCTGGGTTGTCGTGTGTACTGATCTTGTGTATTGATAGTATCCCGCTTTGTACCAGTTGTTGTATGAAGAGGTACTTTAGGTCAATGTGCTTTGCTTTCTTTGAAGAGCCGATTCTTGTTGCTATGCTCTTGCCGCTTGTACTGTCGGTGTGTATGCGAATGTTCACCTTTGTTGTTGTTGCTTCCTTGATGAAGTTTGCTATATGTAGTCCTTCTTGTGCTCCTGTGCCGATTGCATAAAGCTCTGATTCTGCTGATGATACTGATGATAGTGCTACTACTGCTTGTGTTCTGCTTCCAAATTGTACCACGGATCCCATCATTGTCACGATGAATCCACTTGTTGATTTTCTTGTGCTTGGGTTGTCCTCAGGATCATTTTGTAGTGTT